ACATAATCCAATTCCAGTGTGCCTATTTAAAGAAACAGCTGTTTGATCAAATACATGGCCAATTAAGACAACAAATTGGCTCATATGTAGGCAAATAAAATATGTAATAGGCAGCCAAATGATGAGATACAAAATAAGGTCGTACGAAGTAGGATTTCATCCTGCCACCATGCTTAGTTTATTTTACGATGAAGTAAGAATGGTTTTGTGCTTTGACGAAGCCCATCATATGAAGGAAATTTAATTGGGGTTGCAAGTTGCGTGAGGGACTTTTCCGCAATAGTTCAAAATTGTGTAATCTCGGGTTTCAATGTCCTTTGAGCAACATCCTACTGCCATATGCTCAAGAAATGAAGAATGTTATCCAAATAAATCTGAGGTAATCTGGCAAACCTTTCTTACCTTTTACATGGAATGTAAAAGGATGGATCCGTTAAAAATTTATTTTGAGGAGCAAAACCGAGATCACGTGAATTGCACAATAAGAATAACATACACATACATATATAAAAATATAAATATAAATATAGATAGTAGGTTTACTTGATTATGCATTCATAATTATATGCCAGAAATCAAGTGGTAGGGGACTCCAAAGTTTCGGCGTCTTTTACAGTAGTCGAAGAAGCTTCACCAGAAGAGACACAAGCCTCAACTTTGACGGTTGGAGGTACAACGCTAGAGAGTTGAGAAGCGATAGCTGCGGCGGCAGCACGAGCAGCGGCGAATTCCGGAGCGAGAACTACTGGAGCAGATGATCTTGGAGGAGTATTGGAAGGACGTTTTTTAGGAGAACGAGACCTAAAAAATAAAAGCAATGAAAACATTATTTACATCGGCCACTGTCGTTTTTTATATGAAAAAAAATTGTCATCGACGATTATTATTATAAAGCTCAAGTAGTACAATAATGAGAATGAAGTACAAATAATTACATATATGAAAAATAAGGTAATGTCAAAATTTAAGAAAGAAATTTATAGGATAAGGTAGCATGGTGTTTTTCCAAGTGAAATACGACAAAACGAGGATCGTTATAGTAGGAATAAGAACTTCTTGCAATATAGCCAGACATGTGTCATACCTTGCGCAATCGGAGTGATGGTTAAAACATATGTATAGAAAATGGGTGATGGTGATCATCAAACCTTGATGGCCAAGAATATACGTCACCTTTTCTGTCCTAATTACTGTGAGCCATCACTGGTGGTTTCGTACATATGAAAACGCATACAGAAACATGCACATACTGAGACAGACATACTCACATACACCGAGATTGACACATGACTGGGACTAACCAAATCACTTTATAATTGATCAAAGACGTCATTTATAGTAAATATACAGCTTTTTAGGGATGAGCCAGTGAGTTTTCTTGACTACTTAGCTTGAATTTCACTGTAAGGATGATACCCTGCTCTGATGATTTTCGTCATAAGACGAATGAAAGCTTAGAACATTTTCCCCGGATCGAAAGAAATTACATCGGAAGCAGCATCAACAAGAATGTTCCAGTAAAGTCAATCGACAGCTAGTCAAGAGGAATCCCCGTCGTCTTTCGGTGGGATCGACCTTTTAATATCTTCACCTAACGCTTTCACTCGAAATGGAAATAGGATCAACAATTATGAAGCAAAAGAGTCCTCGAAACCAAACTTTTATTTGCATATACTACGTACATATGGTACAAATGCTTATCAACTTTCTTCTGAATATTCGAAAACCAAGAAATATATATCCCAACAAGTCAAGACTATTAGATTTTTAGTTTGTATTTCACATAATATAATACCTAGATATTGTTCTCCTGCTGGGCGTCCGTGTTTACCTATTTCCAATAATATGAAATTGAAATAGGTATCAAGTGATTTGGTTAAGACCAGACTGCCTAACCAATATGAAGAAGTCAACAAAATGGAATGCCCTGAAATCTACACCATAAGGTGTAAGGATTTTAATAAAGAATATAAGGGAGAGGCAGTAAGGACAATTAGCACAAGGATAAAAAAACACCACGACTATTGAGAAAAATGGATACGGAAAGATCGAAGATAACTAAACATATCGCCCCTACAGGCCACAAAATTGACAAGAGTGCAACAGAAAAACCAGCCTCATATGAAAACACCAAAAAACGGAAGATCAGGTAGGTTGTGGATAGCCTCTTTCAAAGAAATTTGATCAACAGAGGATTGGAAGAGGAAAGAGCCAACTATAATTACGCGTATTGTACGGACAAACTTGAAGACTTAGCAATGAAAGGAAAAAGAATAAGCCTGGGCCAAGGAAAACTATTCAACAACTTAAGGAGACATGAAGTACAAAGTGAAGTCAATAAATGGCGATTGCCCTGTAAATTAAACCTAGAATAAGCCTGAAAATTTAACGGTGTTGGTCCACCTGTGAGACATGGGACAGGAAATTAAAGGCCAGAAACAGGCCGATTATGCTTTATTAGAGATGTTAGGCTAAAAATATAGGTGTCAGAAAGATTTTCTTAGTGTGTTTTTGTGTATGGACATTTTCGGGTAATTGCGTATTAAGGACAAGTGACTGATTACATCCCTGACAAAAAAATGGGATAATACCAACCAATATACACATGAGCAACTAACTAGTACCTTAGGATTAGATGGGACTGCAAACTTGAGAGAAAAGAGGACTGCGCTTTGCAAAAATAAAGTGGTAAAAAGGGAAGTGGTCGATTTTCACACCTACGTTTCCGAATTAAGCCGGAGAGAGGGCCCAAAAGAATGAAATACAATGTAGCTTTGGATGTGAAGTAAATTGGGTGTTAGGTCTAAGGCAAAGGGAGATGAAGATGCCTAGTCCTGGACACCACTAACTATAGATCCTCAAATATGAGGTAAACGGGAAAGGGAATTGTAGGGTTATGGGCAGCCAGAGTTAAGACACCCAGACAGTGATTTTAATGTGTAGCAGTGATCGACTGATAAGCAATGTGGAAAAAGGTGGGGGTGGAATGAAGGTTAGAAGCCCTGCAAAAAGCATCTTGAACCTATGGTGAGAGTGATCATGCCTCAGTAAATCCACTTATAGCGACAAATAAGGCGACATCGGAAAAAATGAGAACAGAGAACTGTGAGAATAGGTAAATGGGCCATATGAAGTGGTTTGAGAGAAATAGATGCAGCAGATGGCTTGGTCTTGCTCTGTCTTATTATCTTATAACTAGGCAATTTCTTGTCATGCCGCTTATTTATCAGATCCCTAACCCTCTGTGACTTCTAGTCCGTCAGGCTCTGGAGTTTTTGAAAATGATAATCATACCTAGATCCTTCCTTAATCTAGACTTGAGATCTATGAACTTAAATAGCTTACGCCTCTCAGTCTCG